TGGGGGGGGGTTGGGGGGGGGAGCGTCAGATTCGCATCCACGGACCCCCCTCCAAACAATCCTGGATTTGCTCCTGTTTGGGTTATGTGAGCAACTATGTACAACCTTGATTTAAGCGCCCATGACATTTTTTAATTTTCAATTGGCGATATTTAAAGGGATAGCAACTGTAAGTTTTGGCCAAAAACGGATATTCTTGGGGTAAATAACGATTTCCCATACTTACCAATGGTTAATGAATCCATTCCAATATTCAAAAATAGTCCATGCTTTTTCTCCAAAAGGTTTGGTTTTTTAAATAATCTTTTAAGCCTAGATTAAATTTACACGGGCGCCGTGCGATGGAATTGCCAGTACGTTAGTTTGTTTTACACTGAGAGATAACATTAATCTTGACTTCACCTGTGATGCTATAGAGCTCGATAAGAACCAAAGCGGTAATTCACACCTTAGCGGTTTAAGTTTTGAATAGTCTTTGTCATTTGAAATGTCGACTGAGGGGTTGCCCCAGGCACTGTATGATCATATGAACAGTCTTCATAAGCAGGGACCCAAGGGGGGGGGGGGGAGGCATTAAAAAACATGTTTGGGTAAAGCAATAGGGGCGACGTGACTTTTGGGAAAAAAAACCTTCCTGCTGAGAAGATAGAACTCTTTGTTAAAAGGCAGTATGACATGCATGCCGCCATGCCCGACTAGCTTATATTGACTCCTTATCCGTTTATAAGGCCTGATCTTTGCAAGGTCGAAATAATGAACCAACGCTACCGAGATTGCGTTAGTTGCGCCTCTGAGCTGACGCACCTCACCAGCACATTCATCACTCCAGCAGATCGTCTACAGCTGACAAATGCCAAGTATGGGGTCAACATTTATATCCAAGGGGTCAGGTAGTATGACCAGACCCCTTAAAATGACCTGTCAGAATACACCCCCCCCCCCCAACACACACACACGAAACGAGCGGCAGCAGGTGGCGGATCCAAGGTACGTTATTTGAATGGGGGGGGGGGGGGCCCACAGATGCGAACCCCCCCCCCTCACCCCCCGCAGACGTCCGGGGGGAAGCCCCCCCCCCCCCCG